TTTTGTCGAATCCAACGTTATTATGTAAAATAGAAATATAATCTCATGCATTTATCTTTATATCTTCAAATAGAAATTGACAGAAAATTCATAGAAAACCAATTTGCAAAAATTTCTCATTGTCTATTCTCTTTCTTTTTCTCTCTCATCTTCTAATAATTTTGTATGTTTAGTTTTCTTACGATAACATAAAATTGGATATTTCATTATCAATATAGTTAGTTGCTGTCTAAAACTACGAATTTCTGAAACTACCAAGTCGACCCGTTGTTGTACCGTCAAGATATCTTGGTAGAGCGATGAATCTTCGGCCAGAACTTTGGACAACTTAGACCACGTAATTATCCAGGCAGAACCGATAGACTCAGTCTCGATGACCCTCGATAACGAGACACCGACGTTCGTGGTCAGATTACTCTAACTGGATGTAATACCCGTGCCGAGTTGTATCGCGTTGGTCGCATCATTATGGAGTGTCTCTAAGTTTTCGTTTTAAATGTGATTGCATCACAAGAGGATTTATGTAAACTGACAAAACTTAAGCGCCGGATTCTTAATTGTTTGGATGTCTCATACATTAATTTTCTTGTGAATGTCTCTTAGTTTCTTGTACACGACAAGAGATCTGAAGAATGACAAATTAATATCTATGGTTCCAGAAAAAATTGCTCAAAAGTGTTTAATAGTTTTAGGTTCTTCTGATGTTGTTTTCGGAAGTGGTAAAATAAAGAGAGATTACTTGTACTTGGTTGGACTTAGTCATTGTAACAACAGCTTTCATTTAACAATTGTAATATGTTACTTTTTGCATTTTTTTTACTTATTCCCAGGTTTTACTATAAACAATTATAGTAGCAGCGGAGTTCATTCGGTATAAAAACTATTTGACGGTTTACTCGTCAAATATAGGAATTGAAAGAAGTTCTATCCGCTGCACACTGGATTTCGTGCGGATACTGTGTACACAATTGCTTTATTTGAATTTCGGATATTGCTGATGATGGTTTGAATTTGAGCCGAAATATCCGAACGTTTCGTTAAATAAAATTAGAAGAATATTAATACAATTTACTTTATTAAATTATAACGCGCGAATTACCGCGCAAATTTATACTCTCACTACGTATGGAAGGGAACATGTTTTCTCTAATATTAGAAGCGAATTTTTATCAATTGAAGATTAATGGCAGTTTGACAATTCTTTCCACTTTTTCTGCGAATATCCGCGCACGTAATTGATCTTTCTTCCGATTGGAAGTATCGCCCGTATACTCGGTCTTATAGTTCGCGATTGTCGTCTCCTGTCTTATCCCAGGATTTCCAGATTCCTCCTTCTAATTTCTTTCATGTCTGTCGTTTTCTCTTTCTGTATCGTCGAGCATTATTTCCACGATGTCGCGTGGTGGTCATAAACGCGGGCCTTAGGAGAATCCACGTCCACGACGGGATCGATCAGGATGTAATTGTGAGGAATAGTCCTTCCGTGCTTTGAAGGATAAGTGGATGAAGACGGAAGTTAGTGCGGTATTCGCTCACCATACGACCGCTTTCCCTCTTTAATGAGAATTATCCATCTATAATGTACCGGCGGAGTAGGGAGATGAGGCCGTTTTGATTTATCTTTGTAATTTATCTCTCCAAATGCAAAGATACCAGAGTAAAACGACGACGGTAAAGAAAGAAGGGGAAGAAAAAGAAGAAAAATAATCATTCGACAAAGACGTTGTTGCAAAATTTAAATTATCCTACTAAATTACATATCTTTTGTAAATGAATTAGATTTGTGGCGTATATAATAGCCAGCTGTTATATATATTATATAATTTGTGAACATTTATAAAAAATTAAAATGTTGAAAGGGAAATAATCTGCATAAGCCGAATCTCCTAAAATGTTAAATAATATTTCATTTTTTTCTGATACAAATCAAATATTAAATTTTGATTAGAAAAATTATTTGACATTAGAAGAACTGACTTACGGAGATTTTCTTCACAATTTTGCCTATCTTTTATAAATGTTATATCATAATATGAATTATAATAGATATACTTTATGTTAACTTTTAAGTTATAATAACGATCTCAATATAGTATTCACTGATTAAAATTGGTATCTAATAAATCAGACGGGATCCAAGATCAGACAGCAACAAACGTTGTTATCAATGATGCTGAAATAATTTTATGGATCATGATGCGTTAATTAATATTATTCATTATGTTTCAGCATTATTTGTTGAATTACCGCCGTTGTTGTCATATATAAATATAATAAGTATACATTAAGTATATTTTACATAAGTATATTTTTGCATCTATATTAATTTTGCTGTAACCGATATACTATATCTAAAGTTATAAGAATGCTTTGTTGTGATTCATAAAACGTTGTATTATTAAACTTTTGAGTATTTTCATTTTTATACGTTATATTTTTTAAGTATTTACCGCTTTTACTCTTATATATTTAATTTTTACAAAGCTACTTTAATACCTCTCTTTAATACTTTTAAACCTCTCGCGCTTTTAATTATATCTATTCAATAAAACACAATTCTTTTAGTTTTTTTAATAAAGGCATTATTTATATTAATATTGAAAAAATTTCACAAAAATTATTTTAATATGTAATGTACAAAATTTAACCAATGATCGTGTTATTAAAATAATTTAATCAATACACATCTCCTGGAAATTGTTTGGGAAAATGAAATCCGATAAAAGAGATAGCTCGTTCAATCAAAATTAATGCGAAGAGTTAATTGCAAACCTAATTAACTCTAATCTTCAAAATGTCATATCCTCGATATTCTACGGAATAATAATAACAGATATTGAATGAGAACAGTTAATAAATGCGAATATAGCGAGAAGGATAGTTCGATGGGGAATTTGAGATAGCGGGTTGCAACAGTTTGTAAAACGTCATACGAGAGACCTGCTTGAATTTTATTGCAGGCAATCGATTGTTTCGATATAGTATTCATGTATAATGAAGATAACGAGGTCTCTCGTTATACATTCGCGACAAAATCACAATACGTGTGTATGTGTGTGTAATATATTTATATATTTAGATGATAATTTATATTTACAAGGTAGTAATGTGTAATCATGTCGACGATAACACTAACATAATCACAGCCAGTTCGTCTCATGTAACATTGATAAACAAGTAGGTATACGAGTATACGATTAACTGTCCGGGAGAACACATTACTTTTCTCGCATATGACATTACGCTCTATATTGTTACATGCTTGTGTGTATATATTATGCGCGATTATAATTTATTTCGGCATTAATATCTTTTGACCGCGCATCACTGCAATTGTTTTAACCCTTTGAAGACCCCTTGAAGACCCCTTGAGAACGAAAGCTTTCTAGAAAAAGAAATTTAAAAAAGATTTTATTTTTTCTATAATACAAGGGGATTTTTTTTTATTTTTGGGATTGTTGAATCACAATTCTAACTCCAAGATTCTAAAATTCAAATTTCAAAAATAATCTAGTTATCGTGGAACTCGGTTTATCCTAATATCGCACTAAATTTAAGTATGGCCAAAAATATCGAATTCTTTAATAATCTTTAATGAATGTCTATTCTAATGTCTTAGGGCTCATAATCAAAAATTAAAAAATAATCAAAGCTAAACTTTATAGATAGAAGTCAGTTTGAAAATCGGTACACCTGTTAACATTGATGAATTTCAAATAAAGCAAAACTGAAATTTTATCACTTTATAATTAAAAATTACTTAAAATTGAGTTTTATAACAATTAAATTGTTTTTTAAATTAAAAACAATGTATAAATAAGTGGCTCTTAAGATAAAAATAAATATTAACAAAAAGATAAATTACAAATACAAACAGTAATACATATAAAAAAATTGAAAATTAAAATAATAAAAGTTCGTCCGGACGTTTCGACTCAGTTCGAGTCATCTTCAGATCTTTTGAATTGATACTTTGGCTCGTTGCCCTTTTTATTAATATTTATTTTTTAAATTTTTGTCATATTATATTCATCATTTTGAATTTTTTATTTTTTACCTCTGTATATTTTAATAAAACGTTATCTAAAAAATTACTCCATATAAGAACAAATTTCTTAAAAATCGGCCGAGTAATTTATAAAATAAAAAGAGATGATCCTTAATAGAGCACATGAGGTCCCAAAGGGTTAATGGCTTCTCAGAACATTAACAAACTTTAAAAGCAACTAGAAAGAGATCTATTCAAATTAAATAGAAGCCGTCGATTAGATTGCTTCACGGAAAAAACGCTACAACCATAATTTTCGTTCATCAATACATTTGATTGTGATAACCCTAAGGACATATCTACAAGCCATAGCCACAAGAACATATCTTAATAGCCATAGCTCTAAAGACGCACTGTGTCTTAATAGCCATAGCCTTAAGATGTGCTAATCTTATGATTACCACAAAATATATATATCTTATAATCAAAAAATGTATTGATGAGCGACTTTTGACCGTGGTAATCATAGCCGTTTTTTTCCGTGTTAAATACCAATTTCGTGAAGCGAGTCAATCGTTATCCAAAGCGCCTTATCTCCATCTAATTGTTTATCAGAGAATTTTGACGAGCATAAATTTAACCGAGCCGTTAATTCAAGCAGTAATAACGATAATTGTTACCGTTCAATGGATAGCGTCGATTGTTGGCTAAGATAAATTGAAGCGGAGAGAAATAACACGGTCGAAAATTGATGAACGCCTCCAAATCTGTACGCACACGAACTCTCTTAACAAACACTGCACATCGTGATTAAAGATGCTACACTACGCTATAAATATTTCGCAAGTCTTACAGCTTTGTAAATATATAGAAATGCGATTATCTTTGCGTTATGATTATGCTATAAAAGATCTCTTTCTTTTTTCGCACACTTATCGGAAAACATGGCAGGACTCAGACTTAACGCGAAGGAATTCAATTTAGTCTCCTAATTCCGTTATCTTCTCTCGTTCTACAATTAGTTGATAACGTCAAAAGATAATTCGGGATTACAATGTTACTTCTACAACAGCGAATTAGTTTGTACGAAGAGTTTATAGTTTCGCAGCTCGAGATCAGTTGCACGTCGTTAAAAATTTGCTTTATTAACGATTAATACATTTAATTTGCCATTAATAAAATTTTTGTTATATCATAACACGTTTATGTAAGTAATATGATCGCTTTATTTTATACATCTGCTTATACATCTCGTACACGCTAAATATGAATAATAGAAAGAATGAAGATATCCCATTGTCTCCTCAACATTGCGACGTATTAGCTTTAACTCGAGATCGCGGTTTTTACGCGAATCATAACAATAGCGCTTCTTGTATTTATTTAAATAAATTACTTTTCACAATCTCTACAATAATCGTTTGCCATTGCAGGATAAACTTACATGCACTGTCAATGTATATTCGCTTCAGCCTCATACATTGTTATAGGAGAAAATTTTCTCATTTTTATTATACACACACACATTTCACACTTTCATAGTTTATCTTGTTCGCTTATATACCGAGACTGATATAACGGGAAATCATTGAGAATCGTGTTACTAAATATACGACCCAATCCTATCGGCAGGGTTGTAATCGGCAGTTTTAAACGTCTTACCTGTCCGTAGAAAAAGTCATGACGTTCACCAATATTCGTATAATATCAAATTTATCGAAGTATCAGACGAAGAGTCACCTTCCTTCTATGATTTTATACTGCATACTCTGTGCAATGAGTTCTCGAGATCCTAGAGGATTCTAATGGCAGCAAGTGGCAAGTTCAGTGAGCCATCGGTGTTTGGCGTTTCTTCCTACTAATTCACTGAGCGTAAAGCTCACTCGAGTTCCTTCACAAGTGGCTCAGTGTGCTGATCACATAATTTTCCTCTGCAGTGAAACGTGAAATTCTTTTGCACAATTGCCTAAAGTTTTGATCGTATATCGTTTCGGTGCAATGCTTTTTGTCTAATAAACGACTGGATTGCACGAGTTTCACGTGAGATCTGAGGGATGAGAAGTGGGGAGAAAAGTCCATTGGCAGTTACGCGATCGATCGCACGGATCCCGCGAGTTTGCATGGGCCTACTCGAACACGCTCTCGGCGGCCTCCCGGATCTTCACAATCAGGAAGGACTGTCTGCAGAGCTTGACGAGCATCTCGATCCTTTGTCAGGATGGCTTCCTGAGCTGTGGTAGGGCGATCAAGTAGACATTACCGAGAATGGCACCAACGATCAGCAGCATCACGCTCACGGCCGACAGCAGCCGCACGTATCGCACAAATCTACGGCCCCGGGCGTCTTTCTTGCTCTGATTAGGGAACACGGCTAGACCCAGAAGTGGACCCGCTAGCGCGCCCGCGACATGTGCCGCCCAACCGACCCGGCCGCATCCAAGCAACGCAGGAATGGGCAGCGATGCGATATCCGCACCGGCCAGCAGCAAAACGGCTCCGAGTCGCCAGCCGGCGTAGCGCAGTTCGCCGTGACACTGCAACGAACGAGAAACAAAACGATGCACAGAGATATTATCGCAATCGTTTTTTTCCTCCACGAAGAATCAAGATGGAAATAAATATAAGGATGTGAGTTGATGAAGTTATAAGTCTAATCGTGTCGTCGATGATGATCAAAAAATTAATCACAAATTTAAGGAGTTAAAAAAATAATAAGAACTAAATGAAGTCAAATATTGAGAACTACACGATTCGGCCAATCGACAACGATTGCACAATATTAGAATATTAATGTTCTTGATACCGCAAAGTCAGATATTGTTCATAATCGGTATGTATCCTTTGTGGAGGCCTTCTGTATCTATTTAAAGATTAAGGCTATTATTTTGTCTCTTAATATTCAACATCTCCGAAATTAATCTTTTGCCATAGCAATGATATAGAATTATATAAACACTGCATACTCTGTTAAATCCATATTTTTAGAAGTATATATATAAACTGTAAATTTAAATTATTCCTGAAGTTTATTGAATCAATACAAAATCGAGCTAAACCTAATATACTTTTCAAGTAGTTAACGTGATTTTTAAAAAAATAATACGATAAATAGATACGTGTTTGTTTCTCGAGGAGTTTTTATTACTGGCACTTCCCATAAAAAAAGACTCACTAAATAAGATTCTTTCGCACGAGTATTTCAAGCAGAAACATTCCCGCGCGACTCGACAACGCATTTTAGTATAGCATCTTTTGTAGTCTTTCTTTCTTTCTTTTCTTTGGTCCTTTTTGATGCTGACATGCAACATTGCGCGGACTTTCATGGAGTAAGGGATCGGTTAAAGGGTCAGTTTACGTCGTATAAGCTCCATTTCTTAGAAATTGAGAAACTTCCTCTCACTTACCAGGTAGAGATGAGCAAGATGGCTCGTGAGCAGCGCGTAAATACCTGCCGAAGCGCCAACCAGATAAAGACTTGGTTGCAGAAGCGACGCTCCTAGAGCACCACAGACTCCGCCGCCCAGATAGATAGTTGCCACCCCTATTCGTCCTTGCTCCACCTGCAATTATAAGTTTTCTTCGTTTCCATCTGCAATTCCGTACGTGCAGAATTACGATCTTTGTAATCTGTTCCTAATAAATAAAACTTGTTATATCGGATGATGAATGGCAATCCTAATACTATTGTTAGAATAAATTAAGAGATCTTATTTGAAAATTTTATTTAGACACAGCAATATATTATGCAAAAAGAAATAATAAGTAAAAAATAATAAACATTGGTACAATAAATAATATCTCATATAATGTCTTTTAAAAAATATGAACGAAGTAACTCTTAGTATTGAAGAATAGCAAGAAAATGTATAATAAGGAATATTAGGAATCAACGCGATAGTTAGTGCAAATCTTTCTTTATTATAACAAATTTAATTTACATCGTTCACATATAAAGTTGATTTCACATATTCAATTGTGTGCAAATATGCAGTAATTCGATTTTCAAATATTATATTTCTTATTTTACTTTTTCATAAATTTTTCAAAAAATTTTATGTCTATATATAAAAGAACGATCTCTCTCTCTCTCTCTCTCTCTCTCTCTCTCTCTCTCTCTCTTGCGTCATGCTTCCTCTCAATATTCTGTGGATACATTGTGTTACGGCATGACAAAGAGGGTTTTAATTCAACGATATAGGATTGTTATCTGGAGTAATCGTATAGTATAGGCAAAGAGGATCCTTCTGTCGAAGAAGGGGCTCATTCTCTTAAACATGGTACCTCGATGCGCCAACTGAACGATGTCTCCGCAATTTACTTGATTGGCTCACCTCGAGTGGAGTAGCCAGGACCAGCTGAATGACCACGTTGAGTGCGAGGTGAAGTGCGTTCGAGTGCAGCAGCATGTAGGAAGCGAACCTCCAGCCCTGCACCCTCTGACGTGGATCGTAGACCAGCCATCTCCGTAACGTCGCTTCGTCTCCCAGGCAGTGGACGGTTATCTGTTACGAGAGAAAGCACGTTTAATGTGCTTGCCTTTGCCGCGGAATATTATTCAGAGAAGAGCATGACATATACATCCAGGAATGAAGATAATTACACGTCGCTGTTAGAAATAAAGTAAATTACAGTTAACAATGTTTTTATCAAATATGTACGTACATAATACTGAATTGTTGAAAATACGTATACATTAAGCTATATTTTATATTATTTTACTATTATACACTGTCAATCAAAAGTTCCAGTGCGCTTTATTTTTACGCTAACAATTCCATTTTTCATGTAAAATATGAAAATATGATATAATGTATTCTCTTATTTACGATCACGAAAGTATTCAACAAAGTCGCGAATTGTCAAAAAATAATTACAAACAGAAATTATAAGTAACTTTCTCAAATAAACAAATACATGGGTTAGACATGGGTTCATGGATTTAAAAAATATAAATTTTTAATTTTGCGCGCGCGCGCTAGACACTGATAAACCATTAAAGCATTGTGCACAATTTTTAGTTCGCGTCGTGGAACTTTCCAAATTTCGTAACAAATTTTGAAGTTTGGCGCATCTTCACTTATGTTTACGTAACTTCACGAAATATTAGTAATACTGTTTTTTGAAATACCGATATAAAAAGTAAAGATTTCAAGCTTGCAAATGGTTTTTTAAACATCTCGATACGATGATTCTTGACGAAATTATTTTATCTTGCAGTTTGCCTGCAGTTTTTTTAACAAAATTAGACTCATTTAATATCAGGAAAAAGGGTCATTTTTACTTCAATGTTGAATAAACTCCTGTGAAAAAAAAATCACGGAGCTCAACAAAAAAAAAACTAAAGGTAAAGGTTTATGCTTTCGAATGCTGTAAACCGAATTTTTATATGATTTTTAATTCACGCCATGGAACTTCTCAAAGTTAGTAAAAATTTTTGAGATTTCACGCACTTTCATTTGTGTCCGCATAACTTCGTAAAGAATTAGTCAAATCAAAATATCAATTATCATTTTCGAAAGTAGAGATTTCAAGCTTTAGAATGCTTTTTTATAAATTTTTTTACGATCATTTTTTACGAAGTTACACTCTTTTGAAATTTTCTTATTTTTAGGGGGCAGGATAAGTGATGCTTTAATTATGCTGTTGAGTGTAATGATGTACAACATTTATTTATATTTGTATTGATATTGCAGTATATTAAATTATGTTAATGTGATAATTCTTATACAATAATAATTTTTTTAAATTGTTTATTTGTGTTTTATTAATGATATCTGTATTAAGATTCATATTAGCAATATATAAGAAAATCTTGAAATTTAATCGTCTCGACAAAATGTCTTCTACAAAAGATAATTTCCTACATTCCTTAGAGAAGAGAGAAGTGGTTTAGTGGATCCAGGATTTCCTATTTATCTTAGAAGCTAAATAAAGACACACGAGCACATGAATAAAGTGCTACTCCAAATCCTACTGCTACGCCAACTATTTCCGTAACGACACTTAGCTTTCTTAGAAGCGATTTGTTGAAATAGAAAAGTGTTTTCCGTTTTTACTTCTAAATATTATACAGTAATGTTGAAAAAATTCTTATTTTTCCAGATTGGATAAAGTGACATAAAAAGCCTAAGATACTTAATAAACCGTATGGTGTTCTTCGCTTAAACATATATCTAATGTGTTTCTATATAACAGTATAATTATAGAAAAATTTTTATTTTTAATAAAGAAAAACTATATCTAAAAAAAAAATGAGTATCACTATCCTCGCCCTGATGAAATGAACGGCAAGATGCACGAAACGTTGGCATTAGCAACGGATAAAAACACGGCAATAACCTGCAAAACTTCTGATATCTTTGAAGATAATACCTGTGTGAAAGCTTTAAAAACATTATATCTAAAAAATGTGTATCTGTATTCGTAATATATAACAGAAGTACATTATGTGTGAGAAAATTGGTCAGGTACATGTGTTTAAATTTTGCAAAATTTGAGATACAAATAAACGTTATTTAATTTTTAATGCTTATAAAATTAATCCAAATATTTTACAATAAAATTTATGTGCAAAATTCATTTATTTGTCAAGTTTAATGAATGTGTCTAAAAGACAGGTTGAACGTATAATTCATGATAGCGTGCTACATTATAATCCGTGATAAACTCTACAATAACGAATATCCCAATATCGCATAACGCCTTGCAATTGAGTACCAAATAACGATCAATCACATTATCGATCACAATGATTTACGAAGATCCAGAGAGCCTATTAAAGCAGTCTCCATATGCACACAGTAGCGATATCGGACAATTCGTTCAATATTAATCGCACAGTCAGCAAAATATTTATGTCACGAGCGTAGTCTGCGAGCAATTTATCAGCGCGTTTAATAACTTGCTCATCCGATTACGCGCGGAATTTATCGTAACCGTAATAAAGAGCGGGGTGTACGCGATGCATTCAGTGCCGAGTCTCTAAAAATAATACCTTAATAACGATTGTTGTTTACTTTTTTCGTGCACCATAATGGAGTGCACGCGTGCGGACATTCTCGCCGATAAATTACACGTGTCAGCAGGTGCGCCACTCTTTCGGAAGAGCTTGATACTTCCTCGGCTATCTATTCTGACATCTCAGTTTTTACAAGCCCATTTAGATTCCGGGCCTTCGTCCGTGCTTTAACGTGTTTTTACGTTTTCCATCTTGAACAGGATCTTCCGAACATTAAAATCCAGTGATCATTTAATTCGCCGATGTGTCCGTCGCAGGACTGAATGAGACTGATTTTGTCGTTTAATATCGCAAAAATGAAATTCAAGCTGTACGAAATTATGTTAATTTTTAAATCTATATGTTATTACGATATTCTATTTGCGATTAATAAATAAGTATAAATCTGAAAATTAATACACTGTCACTTAAGTACATATCTATATTCATGACATATTTTATTTTTCAGCAAATACAGTTGTTATCTATTTTTTAAATAATCACTTTTAATATTATTTCAACATAAGATCTTCATAACGCATATTCTAACAATTAATATAGGGCATGTAAGAGTTAAATTCATGTTTCGCAAATTACAGAAATAAAAATAAATAATATATTATAGAAATTATTATATTACATTACATTACATAATGATAGTTTCGTATGACATGTTTCGGCTTCAATATCGAGCCATTTTCAAATATTCCAGAAAAACTGTGATGATAGAAATCGTTGTAACGTGGTGATGGGTGTTATATAGAATCATTATTCATGATGGGGCAGATGTGTACTTAATCAAGCTCGACCAGATGAGTGTTAAGCAAAGTAACGGAAATTGCTCGCGAACAGTTGGAAATGTTGTTGTTGAGAATCTCACAATATTCTAGTGGAAATGAAAAATTTTTATAGTGGATAAGCAAGAATTGTCACTCTGATTTCAACTCACCCGGTTAGCCGCGATGATATGAAATCTTATTTTGAAGATAAAATATTCGTCAGTATTCCAAACTCAGTCATGATAATCGTGTACAGTATTGTAGTCACAAAGTAAAATAACTGCGGCTTTCAATATATAGAGTTCATGATTACTGAAAGTTCATGATTTTAAACAAGTAAACATTAATAACTATTTATTTTTACAATGGATCATTGTATTATTAAAAAAAGTCAGTTACATTTTATTTCACCTCACAATAGATGATAAAAGAGAATCATTTAAAAGAAAACGGTCATGTCAGTCAATCACTGATTGTCAATCACCACGACAGACTGACTATCGTCCAATACTGTGTTCTAATTCTAAATTCTAAGTAAATGTTTGCAGCAATCCATATAATTGGAGTGTACGTACATATGTGGATGTATACGCGCACTCGGAACTCCGGTCGGAGTTCGTAATTATAGAGGCGTCCGCATCCTACAACGTAGGAATTTCATTTTCCTAAGGTGCGAGAAAAGAAGAACGTAATATCGTGTAATATTCGTGCAATGCGATGCAATATCGATATTCATGGTATGTTGAAATAACACTCGACAAAATTTGTCTAGTACGTAGTGCCTGCGATTTTACACTCACTGATATAAACAAAATCTGAATGAAACATGACTCTGTCATATTTATAGAATAAAAAAATTAAGTCAAGACTTTATACTTGTAGACACATATAAAATTTTATTTTATAATATTTAAATTTAGGAATACTCTTTTCTCACGAAAGAAAAAAAGTTCGGTTTAAAGAAGTCTTTAAAAATATTTTTTTAATTTATATGAATCGAGAATATTAAAACAAAAGTTTTTCTTGTTTCTTTCTTTTTCTATAAACTGTTTTATTTTGAAGTTAAAACATGTTTATTATTTTGAAGTTAAAAATGAGTTTTTACACAAAAATTCAATATTGTGAGAAATTATCGCGTAATTTGTTAAAAAAAAAACTTTTTTAATTCAGAGAGCCTATTTTAAAACACTTTCGTTAATTTTTGTTCAATAATGTTTCATCAAGTTATAACGCTTCACAAAATAAAATTAAAATATTTAAAAAATGCCAATTTTCAATTTTATGCACTTTAAAATCAAAATAACAGTAATCAAATTAAAAAACAAATTTACAATTCATCTCTATTCGTCTTCAAAATGCATTTTTGAAAACTTTTCTACGATTAATACGAATACGAAGCCTATAACAGTCTAGCTGGATCTTAGTTGCTTATATGGTATATATGTATGCCATAATTTCACGTGAATTTATATATCGATGTATGTAGTCTTTCTAAACTGCACGCCGAATAATTGTTGGTCTTGAAACGCAACTCTAATAAACTACCGTGATACTATCACGAATTAAATTGATCTACGATTCTTTTCAAGATATTTAATTTTTCGTAAGATAATCGTGTTCTCAAATTTATGAGCAGTATATATAAATTTTTATTTTAATAAAATATATAGAAATCAAATGTATGTAAAGAATTTCATATTTATTGTGACTAACTATGGTATACATCATCGAAAATTAAACAAATTTCAAATAATACAAGATCTTTAAAAAAAAATTTAAGAATTAATTAATTTGTCTTTCTTATATTATTAAATTTAAATTTGCAATATTAGAGAGAGCATAATCGATAATTTACTGAAAAATCAGAAACTGGATTTACTGTTCGACGTGTACAATCTGAAATGATCGCCATATCAAACAGAAGACGGTACGTAAATCACAGAGGTTCGTTTTACGAGTTTCAGCTATCGTCTACTCGAAGAGTAGTAAAGTGACGGAACACGAAGCAGGTTCTAAGTTAAATCTCGATACTTTCCACAAGTGAGAGATTTGTATCGTCTAAAGTAAAGAGAAGACTTACGTAGAGAATGGCGTGAATTCGAGATCACGACTATTATACTATGATTTCACGATTTGATGATTCCATTATCAAATCATATTTTACATCATTTTTGTGCAAACTGGGTTAAATAAATGAATAACAGATTACATAGTCAATCCAAAATCTTTAACATTATTCTTAAAGAAAAGTGTTAAGGCACTCATTCAGATATTATACAAAATATTCTAAAGATAATTAAGTCTACAGGTTATAAGCAAAAAGGCAAAGTTATAAATCTATATTTTTATAGCTTTAAAAAAGTGTGAATTTATATTTAAATACATTTAATTTTTATCTCGTTAGATTATATAGTCGCGCTTAAAATTAGTATAAATACTAGAATATAAGTGTGTGCTATTCTCACAGTAATATTAATTTAATCATTCATATATTTTATATACGTATATATATATTTAGAGTACATTTAATAAATATAAATATTATATATATAAATATTATTTATATTGATATTTCTCTCAAGTAAAGTGCGATATAATTCATGATTCATTTTTCCTATTCAAAGAATAATTTCCTCGTGCTTTTGTATTTTAATTTGACAAGTCCAAAATTGCGCCGTTCATACCGTTTACACCGTTAATCGAAACTCGGAACGTCTATTTCCGGTGATCTGGAGAACGTTTCAAAGGTGGAATTCGTCCTTTTCTTCATTTCACTTCGAGGTCGTTGTGCGTTAACATCCTCGATTTTCGTTCTCCCTCATGCCAACCTCTTTTAACAATGCACGGTAGCATTGCCATATTAAAAGCAGAAACGGAGTTTCGCAGGATTCTCCGCAAATTAGAAATGCATTTAACTTCGTAGTTTTAAGTTTATGCATTCAAAGCATAAATTAACGCTTTACTACACATTATAAAATCAAAATCTGAGTAATAACAAGAACGTTCGTTCTATCGTGTAACTCCATTATGTATTAATCATCACATAATTATACTGTTTAAACTAAATTTTTCTTGAGAGAAAATAGGGTAAGAATCGTTCATTTTACCAAATTAAGATTAGAAAATTATTTTTAACGTCTTCCAAAAAGCCTGTAAATATATTTTAAATACAAAGAAACATGTAAGTATTTTTCTTCCTATCTTTCGGAATGCATTTATATACATCAAATTTTCTTTATCCATAAATATTTTATTTTACAAGTTATATCTATTTCAAGATCCCGCTATAAGATACGGAAACGAAATAGCTTTGGTATCATATTTCGCTTCTTACTCTATAGGTACATTCTGCTGTGTTTCTCGGTTCGGATGTAAAGTTCCTTAAATTTCGAGGAACGATTTGCGGGAACGATACGCGCTAGGGCGATAAATATAACGGCTCGTTTCTTTTTATCGTGCAAAACGCCGCCGATGTTCTCCGCTTCCACCTTTAGTACGTAACACCGCGGCGCGCATTCTCAGGCGTGTGTTTATACGCATTGTCTCATATATTACAAATTATCTCCCACTTGCAACAACGAGTTTTCACCAGACAATACTGCCGCGATAAAGTTGAAATTCACGGACTGCGGCCGTGAATTATTGGCGCCTTTAATTTCGCGGCTTTAGGTTTATACACTTTGGTGAGCATTTCTGCGTTCATGGGTAATTTTCCCGGCGGTAAAATGCCCAGGTTCGGACATTATTATATGCCCGGAAATATCAACTTTTTTTTATTATAACGTTACTTTTTGAGCGTTTCATTAAGCTCGAGGGCGCGTTAATATTCTCTCTCTTTAGATCGCTCACTCAGCCACTTTGAAAATCGCCTTTTCATGATACGCTTTTCATTTTACATGATCATTTAGTTAATATTTAATATTTTTAACATTTTTTATCACATACGTGTATGTAAAATTTCTTCGCAAATATAACTAATTCTTCCTAATGTATACACTTATATATACTTTCTAAAGTATATACATTTAATTTCAATAGTCATAATTTAATTTTATACAAAGCTATACATATATTAAATTTTTACAACTTTAATATTTGTTATTATTTTATGTAATTATAGTATATGATAATTTAATTTATATTTATAAAGCGTACAGAGTTTTTCTGTTTGAACTGACTTCTGTCAGAATGAGATAGAAAATAAAATTTAATAATTACGAAACTTTCGTTGAAAACTTCGTAATTTGCATTGTCTATTTTGATCCACGTATAAAAGCTATAAAAGCGATAAAACTATATATTCAAATTATTTTTATAAACATTTAGACATTTTCATTTTTCTATATTTCAAAATATACGGAAAAAATAAATCTATCTATTTCAAATAAAAAGATTTTATTTCCTTTATCACATTTTTAAGTACACTCTTATTAACAATATATAAATGCTTTCGTGATTCTCTTTGTTTTCTTATACTTTGTATCGCCTTTTACATTTTTTTACTAGATAAATATATTACCTATATATAAATATATTTCAATATTTTAATACATTTATATAACAGTTATATAATAATAATAAATATACATATAATATCTAATTTTCTTTTTAGATCTTTCATGAAAGATTATAAATGAAAATTATTTTCGTATCTCTTTCGAGATCATCTGAATTATAATATTAATAACATGACATTTCAAGAAATGTCGAATTTTCTACACATCTTTCACGTCAAATTATTATGTTGTTATATATAATAATTTCCTCGTGACGCAATTTAATCCATATGCACTATAGATCATATATTAATTCTCTCTTTAACTATATTTTTCATCGATTTTAGATTTATAAGACAAATTTAAAAGTTTAATGACTTTTTAGGAGTAATGATTAAAAAAGATAATTTAGAAACTGTTATTTTAAATTTTCAAATAATGTCTACATACAAAAAGTACATTGAAACTTAACGATTCTACACAGTAAAGAAACATTTTGTACTTGTGTTAAAAGATTTCTTATGTTAATTTATAAATAGTGTTTGTATTATTTTCTAACGAATTCATTTTGTGTTAAATTAACATAAAAAATTCAAGTGGATCGTTTGGAATACGTAAGATGTATAACATTTAATACAAATTTCCTCAACTATGTAGTTTAATATTAACCTGTAATACTAATTTTAAAATTAATAATGTGAATAGAAAAATTAAATAAATTTTTATTATAGCAATACAAATAATTGCAACATAATTGCCTTAACAATAATAATTAAAATAAAAATGATGTATATAATGTATCGAATATAGTAAATTCTAAACTACCAACTCATCGGATTGCGTATTTCATTCATCAAATCCTCAAAGGCTAAAGAATATAATTATGCTTATAATTTTCATATACTTAATTATCTCATATCTTTTCATGCCTTTTTTATCGTCTTCCGTACAATGAACTTCGACTGTTAAACATCTGCGAATATTTACTTTGATCTCGTTCTGCTATACGTAGAACGAGTCAAAAGAAAGTGCGGTTAAGTGATTAACTATCGTCGCGCGTCGTAGTAAACGAGTAAGAAATTATAGCGCAACTTCGCGGTTTTAAATTTGCGAATTTTTATTACGCGTACCCCCTCACTGCTTATTCACTTTCTGACTGTAGCACGAAACGAAAAAAGTTTTCAAGATTATTATCGAGCGAAAAAGCCAAGAGCTTCTACTCTTTTGGAGTTTTCGCCATCAGGTATCTCGGAATATCGTTCTCCGGCGAATTCGCGCGTATAATTGAAAAGGAATCCCACCGTGCTTTCCTTTCGCCCTTACTCTCGAGAACTGAACACGACACGCTGGTTCCATTAATGAGAAATCTTGGAGCTTATGCATAGCGTTTTAGAGTCGTTCTTTTCTACTTTGTTTATATTTCCTTCAATGCCTGCAATATGTTCCTCATTTTACGATAAGAGAATTTTATTCAGTTGAAACAACATTTATTTCAACATAATAAAATAAATATTAAAAAATGTGATAAATATAAAAATGTGAAACAGGTGATAAAATATGCGGAAAAAACGATGTTTTTAATAATTATTACTGGCATACACACACACACGCATTGTATGTATATATTAAGAGATGATTTCAAAAAATATATTGCAATGTAAAAAAACGCAGATGATTATTTTGATTTAGTTACTGTACGCTGTGCAAATCTATTTTCTAATATCACTTTATTTATAAACAAAATGTAATGCTAACAATAACCACAAAATTAAAATAGCAAACAAATTTCATTAACAATACGCCAAAACAAAAATAATGTCGATAGTTTAAAATTATTTCTTTTGTGGCTTTCGAAGAAATAATTGCTCATCTCTTGTAATTAAGAAAAATTGTTACAATTGTAACAGCGTTCCAAGTACTAATTACAGTGGTATATCGTAATCACGGAGCTGCTTTATATTTAACATTCACTCACCTCGATGATGCTGATACAGATCATAAGGTAGGGCGGTCGTATCCGGAAGCTCGGCTTCCTGGATGGCAGTGGATATCTGGGCGTTGGTCTGGGCGTGACTTCATCGTCACGTATTTTTTTATAGGAAGACGTGACGATGATCGGCGATTCCGGGGAATAGGGCGAGCCGGGTCCCGAGTATGTCGCATCCGTAGAATCCGACGATATCGTCGACAAAGTCGGCGAGTTTTCCAACAACGCTGCCTCGGCGTCCATTTTAGTATCTTAAACGAACAGAAAGAATAACGATTATAAGTATATATTACCGCAAAACAGTTGGATAAAAGTATACATTAAAAAATATGTTTTAAGTGGAACATGCAGTACACAACGCATTATAAAGATTAAATGTAATAAGATAATTTAAATATATGTTAAATGCTTATTTATAATGATTTATTTAAAAGTTTCCTAATAGGAAAACTATTTATAATATGTCTGAAATAAGTGTATTAAAAATATTTAAACACAATAAAAAACACAAACAATAAGAATAGAGAATACAAGAGTAATCGTGAATACTAAAATGCACGATTTCTGATGAAATTTCTTATTCCCTTCTACTATTGTCTATATTTTTTAATATTTTTAAGGCTTTTTACAGGTGATTCATTTAAATACCGATCTTGTTCTATCTTATTATTGTTTCATTTGTTTGTAATATAATATAATATAAAAATTCACTCAGAATTATAGAATTTATGAAACATTCTTTAAAAGAATCAGATTGTATATGTTGTAAGATAAAGAATCTGATTTCACGTAGCTTTAATTTGATAATTTTACATCTTGCGTGTTAGAGAATGTCCGCGTGTGTAATAGAATCAAGTATATATTACATGCGTTACTTATCTGAAGACAAAAGAGAGAGAAAGCGGAAGCCGCTGAAAGTCGAGAAAATAAAACTTCAATCAAACAGCTTTACTGGGAGAGCACATTTTTATAAATTTTCTTTTTTATCTAACGACAATTATTAAGCCATTACACGTAATCCTACAATCCTAGTAACGATTCTGGCACTCGCTCTGCAATGAAGTCAGCCTTTCGGCAGCTTAGTTCGCAGATATCGTCAGCTTTCGTCGGCCTCTCCCATGTGGAAGCCTCCCTCTATAATTCAGCCGCAAATCCTATAATGGTGCGAAAGACGTGTTTCGTGAAGCAATTTGCAGAACGGTGCAATTTGTACGCCTACATACGTTACGCGTACTGGCACAGGTTAATCTTGAAACGATACTTCGTATTCGGAATTCGTCATGTAGGTATAAAGTGACTCGTAAACGGAATAAGGGAAGCGAGCAGTTTTAACAAAAAAGACCAACAAGGGGGAAGAGTTTACGTAGAATTTAAATTATAAAACGAAGGTGTAAAACCCAAGACCTGGCTGTTTTAATTTTCGTGACATCAGAGAAACATATACTATAGATTCAACAGTGATAACATAATTTTTTATTGCAGAAAGGCAAAATTTAAATTCAATTTACATAATAATCAACATTGTTATATATATTATTACATAACATATTTCAAAAATATAACACGTTAATGTATGTATGTGTAATATATATTAACACAATCAGCTCGGCAAATTTATTATTACTTGTGTAATATCACTGTCTTTACAATTACCACTAGTTAATTTTCTAGGTAAACAATAATGGCTACCATGATTGTCCTTCTATAACAACATAGGTACTTCAAACTATTCATGCAGTGTGTTATGAATACTTTAATAAATGTCCATAACGTAAACGTTACAGTTTACTACAATTTTTCATTTCAGCAGCTTTGTTACTTTCGAAATGATTAATAATCAGTTTACAATGATTGCTTACTAACTCTGTCTTCTGAGAACACTTGATAATTGTTTTGATTTCATCATAATTTCGATTGATCATTGTCTAATAAGAATTTTGGTATAGCATGCTATGCATCTTCAATGATCACAAATTTTAACAAATTATGCATTTTCGAGACGAATGTGCAGGTTTAACATAGGTAGAAGGGAATACTATTGCATCCGAATCCGGTACGTTGGTTATATGTTCTTCTTGTACATCGTCTGAATAGTCGTTTGGCGCATCGTGTAGATGTTCTTCTAATACATCCGAAGACAATCTCTGTTTTGACTGAGGTTTGTGCGACAGGAAAGCGATTACATACGGCCGATTATATGCAGCTCGCCTTAAATTATCCAGGTATGCGAGCGCGTCATCAAAATATGCTTGATGTCTACGCAGTTTGCTTGGTAATAGTGGTAAAGGTGGTCTGCGTTGTGGTACGTCAATTATATACGGAATAGGATCCGCATATAATTCTGAACTGTCCAAATCGGCCACATCATCGGCCTCAAAATGTACCAGATGTTTATGTAATCTACTTGGTGGTTGAGGCTTGCGTCGCGATGCGTCAATTAAATACGGTGGCACTGGTGGTAGAATGGATCCCGTGTCTTGTTCCGAACTGATGACCACGTCATCATCCGAATGTTTAATGTGCTTTCTTTGGGGTATTGGAGACTGTACCTCGGCTAGCAAAATTTCGCAATGTAGTTGAATCACCATTAATAATAAAACAGCTCGAATCGCACATTGGAATCCCATAATGATTGTTAAATGTCAAGAGAAACTTTGTCAAAAAAGATCTGGATCAAGTCTCTGATAGTTGCCACTACGTTCTGCTTTAACTTGTCAGGACTTGCTCTCTTAAATCGAGAAGCTGGATCGTAAAAGATAATCGAATTCATAAAGGCACTGTTGAAACGCGACATGAGCTATATAATACCTATGAACGTTTCGTTATATGATTGGCAATGTACATTTACCAACAGCAAGATCTCGCACTTTAATGTACATTGATTCATTTCACGCTAACATTATCTCATCAACGCTTTATTAAATGGCGGATTAAGGAGCTAATTCTTTTATTATTAACAGCCCATTTCATTGTCCGACAATCAGTTTTCGGTCCACCAGCAATACACTTAAACTTTCAGATCATTCACGCATATATTACATTCTGGGGCTGCAACTTTTTACACGCAAATGCAAAATATGACACCAAGAAATTATTTTGAATAATAAGTATAAATAGTACTCTTAATAGTACTCTCTTTGATATAATTCTAAATAATAAAAACAAACTCCATATCATAATTAAAATTATAACAATAATACAAAAACAGAATATGTTCATACTTGTGAAACTGTGATACGTAAAGATGATGTTTGGAGTTACAGAATAATGCTTGTATTTGTCAGGATTAATTCTTCGGAACTATATTCCGCAATCAAACTAAAGCCACCTAGTCAACTCCCATAGCCTGACCGGCTTAAAACTCGATCTCACGCGTTCTAGACCGAAACGAGCCAAGAGCGGGGCGCCGACGAAGAGAGCGATATCACACTGAAATCGCTGGTTTTCGTGGGTATCCGCCAGTTTCGCGGTGTGGCACACCGGGGCCGAAACTTGGCGAGCCAACAATTCAACGGCAAATTCTAGGGTGACCCGAAAACACGAACCGAACAAAGAGCGTTGGCGGTCGGACAAAGAGATCATGAGAAGCGAGTGAAGAGAAAAGCAGAAGGAGCCACACAAGTTCTCTCAGCCTCCGCTCTTTGGGGTGGCCCGATCGACAAGCATATCATTCTTATCTGTCTCTTCTATCAAAGTGCCACTTCATTTCTCTATCTCTCGAACAGATTCATTTGCCGGTGCGCTGCAATTCCAAATGCACGCGTAATGTCTATGCACGAGATGTCGAGAATAATGCATAACTATATTCGCGTAGTTCACGCCGCGCCATAAATGCCTGCAAGCTCGTTGGCGCTCATTAACTTTAGAATGTCCCTCTTGAGGCCCCATTGCTTTTTCATACAGCACTCTCTGTACTTTGAGTTTAATTTTAGTCCGTGTTTAACTCATTTAAATAATCCTTAATTATAAAATACATAAAATAATTAATACATAAAATAGTTAAGAATAACCTTTTTTTTTTTCTTTTCTTTTAAATAATCCTCTTAAGATTCTTAATTATAACATTTGAATAATATTTCTGGAAATTACTCTCTTATTTTAAAATCTCTTCATTATAAGATTGTGTACAAAATTTTTAGTACAAGAGTACAAGACGATGGTCGCATCTCCTCTTCTCGAGTTATCTCTTCTTTTCTTCCGTGAGGCAGAATCGTGTTCGAGCCAACTGCATTATGCCGCTTCTGGCAAGGGTATTATTAGCTCCTCGCATTATTGTCTTGGATTAACTCACCCATGCAAAAAGCTGTAATTTCTGGTTAACTCGTGCGCATGTTTTTTCTGTAGTTACCCAAATGATAATAAGTATGAATTTAAATTTGTGCGGTATCGTTGTGCGATGTCAAAAAGTTTGTTCATAATTCCTTATTAAATACTATATAATTAAAACACCAAATTACTCCCTTTTATCTAGTAGATTTCATTAATAAAATATATAAATTGTTATTACACGTATATACATATCTACAATATTTCCATATTTCTCTCGAAAATATCAAAGTCACGTTCCAACGCATGAATTTTGATCTCACATTTTGCAACCTCTCTTTTAATAATTTCCTTTTTACATAGTTGGAAAATTTATGTTAAATTCAAAAATATTTCACTATACAATCCACTTAAATTATTGTGTTCATTTAACACAAGAAGAATATATCAGAAAGTAACACAAACATTATGAAAGAATTAACGCAAAAAACGTAACATCGACAACAATTTGTAAGCAATTATATTTCTCCATTAAAATTAATATTTATAATATGTTAAAACACATATTTTTTCATTAATTCACATTCATTAATTCACACTCATTAATTCACATTAATTTTAAAGTTTACGTTTTTAAAAACATTATTTTTTAATTATTTGTTCACTTACTCATAAATTGTGTTATTTAAACACTAAGAAATGTTGAACATCAGTTCAGTACAAAATATGTCAATAACATAATCGCATTATGCTAAATTAAAACACTTGGATATATTTAAAAATTCAATACAAAATTTTAACAAGAACCTGAAATAGACCGTTTCTAGCATAAACACAAAATATTTTTTACCGTGTAAAATATTCCAAGCAAAAATGGATTGAATCCATTTTTACAAAACTTCACAATCTCATAATTTGAAATAAATCTTATAAACCAGCATTCTTTTTATGAGGATTTTAATTTTGTTTACGGCTGCTATTTTTA